CTTCAATTGTTGTAAGATTCTATAATATATAATATATATTTAAGTTTTTTTTATAAGTGATAATACCATGAACCTATTTTAATAAAAGATCATTACCTCTCTAAGCCTTCTTCTGGATATAATATAATCAATGATCTATAACATTGTAACACTTGATAATGTGTTAGAAGTACATCTCGAGATGCTTCAAATGGAATTATACAAACTAATTCAGATAAAACTTGATGTATATGTTCTAAAAGTGAGCGAAGAGCTTCCTTCTCATTTTCTGTGGCACAACTTAAGACCACTGCTAAAACTCTACAATATTCAATCAAATTGATGAAATTATAACATCATGGTAAATAAAAGAGAGTTGAAAATGATTGCATACCTAACTGCTGCTAAACGTGTATTAACTTTTTTACAAAAATTCAACAACATGGGTGTTAACTTTATGATTCTTTCACAATCTACTTCCTGTGGTAGTAATGGTATCATATATACAATTGATGACAACACTGCTTCCACACTTTTACAATCTTTAGATGTTTTTATCCAATTGAATGTTAATATATCAAATGCAGAACATATTTCCTCTTTAAATGTTTCTTTACTAATTTCTGGGCTTGAATCTTTGTCTAAATTTAATATATGATCATTTATAGCTTCTGCAATCTTTCCAAATGCTGAAAAATTTTTTCATTAACAAAATATTTTCATTATAGGTGTATATTATTTTCATTATAATTATTATTATGGCTGAAATTTACTAAGGCAGAATGCTTGTTTTAATATCTCATCACGTGTTTGATTTAACATTGGGATCATAATAGTTAATGTGATTTTGAAGAAAGATATCATTGCACATGGATTACGTTCTGCAATCATTCCTATAGTACGAACTACTGTATGGTATGGTAGTATTCCAGGTTCCAATCTATAAAGAAATATATTATCATGAATAAATATAATATTTAATAGATGATAATTGTATAATCAAAGAAATGATGAAAAATTACTTAGTCAACAGGCCACCTATTGCCTGTGTGCAATGTACTTGACTCAATGAAATTAATAATTCTACTGCTTCCTTTTCAGCATTGCCAAAGAGTTCATTTACAGCTAGTTCTGCAACTGACGATGCTAAATCTGTATTCAAGTTTGCGCCATGACATTGACATGTTTCAGACATCACTGTTAGTAAAGAAGCCATATGTTCTGAAGATATCTTAAAAAAAAATAATTTGTTATAAGCTGTGTAGATAATTATGCAATTTTAACATATAGTAAATTAATATACCTTTCTATGGAGTTCCCAAAAATATACAGCTGCATGAATTACAACTTCAGGATTTTGTTCGGATATTGTTTTAATTGCTCCATTTACCGATTGCCTGACATCTACTGATTTATCATCTAATGTGTCTAATAATGCTCCAATTACCGCTAAACAAATATAACATAACCTGACATATCTCCCTTAAGATATCTTAAAAATCATTCATTGTGTTATTATTAAACATATGATACCTGGTAGCTCTGAATTATAAGAATTTTCGATTTCTTCCTTCATGATGAATTATTATCCTTAATAAAATATATTAGAATTACATAAATAAACAGTTAAAATTATAAATTGATCATATTCGTTGTAAGTGGTTCATTTATACAATAAATATATGACAGATCGTATTTATTAAAAAAGTATACTTTCACGTGTCACGTTGTAACTTCTATTTATTTTTTTTCTTTAATTGAGGCGAATATCTTTCAAAATCGTTCAATAGATTAGAAAACTGGCATTATCATATCGTTACTGACGAATAAGTAACAAAAATTCAATATCATCACACGCCATCACAAACAAGTAATATTATCAGTTTAATATACATACGGTAATACAATATCAATATGGTAGTGTTAGTACTTACCACATCCGTGTTATCTCCGAATGTAACTATATTTTACACTCAATTTGAAACGAAAATACTTTATTTTTACATACACAAATACACATAAATGTATTATTTAAAAAATAAAATTTATTATTTTAATAATTGTTGATATTACGATTTCGAAATATTAAAAATAAACAAAAAAATGAAATTAGTAATAAGTGATTTTTGTAACTATAAATAATGTCGTGTAAATGTTTAGAAATTTTAAATGAAAGTACTAGACTGATATATAACTAATGAATATTAATCCATTAAATAAAACCAAATGATTATTTCATATTTTTTACTTGTTATTTTTAATATTTTGTCTTCATTTATTTATATAAATATAAATATAAATATAAATATAAATATAAATATGTATATATATATAGTTAGGTTAATTTCAACAATGAAAATACACGAAATATACTATAATATACTTTCATTTTTAATTTTTGGTTTGTTATATATACAAAAAGAAGTGATAAAATAACGGGTGATAATAAATTATAGTACAATCTATTTAATTAAAAATTATTACTTTTCATCATTGAATGTTGCTGGTAATGAAATATTAACAATGTCAATAAGCTTAACAAATCATCATGTTATAAAATTTGTTTTACACTGTAACCGGTGGCATAATATCCATTCCCTTGCATTCTAAAGCAATTTTGACTCCCAGTGCAAAAAATGCAATGCTTTTTACCACTGACCTATAAAAATACAAATACAGTGTTACATATATTAAATAATTTAAAACCAAATCTATGTATGTTTAGTATTTCAAAAAAGCAAGAAAAAAATGTTATTCCCTTAACACTGATTTAAAAATAATTCAAGGTTATGCGTGGTTCATATAAAAAAATCTGAAAATGTATAATTAGTGTTTATTAAATTAAATATACTGTACATACCATTTGAATCCATCGTAATATGTTCCTTTTATAACACCTGTTACTTTATTAATTTCTTTATACATTTTTCCGAACATATTGTGTTATCAATTGTTTTATTAAAATTATCTGAATACAATTTATTGTGAAAAGACGATAAGATTGTGTAGTACACGTGCAGCAACCTACAATGTGTCCATTTATTTTTATCGATCTAAAATATTTTATGTTACATTTGACTGGAAGATGGCGTTGTAAGAGGGTGAAAATTTAAATTTTAATGATATCAAAATTCTTAATAAACGATATTGAATTATTAGAAATCATTATTACAAACAGCAAATAATCGAAAAATATATTATTTTTTAAAGTATGTAATAAACTTTTCATTAAAAAGTAAATGAAATGTGTAATAGTAGAAAATTAAATATAATTTAACGACGCTATCTAGCGACAAAGTGATAAATCATTTTAGATTTTACCAAATCTTACTTAGCTCTGTGTTATTAATCAGTAGTGGCATGTATATTTAGTAAAATAATGTTCAATTAAACAATCTCATCATGTTTTTAATACTTAACAATGAGTGTATAATATACTTTCAATACATAAGATATAAAAAACAATAATTATCTGATCGATATATATCTTTCATTGGGTAACTTTGAATTAGAAACAGCTAAATAAATTTTTCTTGTTGTTAAAAAGTAAATATAAAGAAATGGGAGCAGGAAAAAGTCAATTTACTGAAGAGGAATTACAAGATTATCAGGTGATAAATATTTATTAATAATGTATTATAATAATTGATAAAAAAAATTATTACAATACATCATATATATCAAATACATTAATTTATATTTCGTTTCATTGTTTAATTTTATATTAATTTTTATAGGATCTAACATACTTCACAAAAAAAGAAGTACTATAGTAAGTACATATATTTTATTTATTATCAATTGACATTTCTATATATTAATGATTACAAATACTTTTATTTTAATTCATGATAGTGCACATCAAAAGTTTAAAGCCCTTGCTCCAGAAAAGGTTGGACACAACAGGAATGCAAAGCTTCCAATGTCCAAGATGTTACAATATCCAGAATTAAGAGTAAATCCTTTTGGAGATAGAATCTGCAAAGTTTTTAGTTCTAGTCAAGATGGAGATTGTACATTTGAAGATTTTTTAGACATGATGTCTGTATTTAGTGATGCTGCTCCAAAAGCTGTGAAAGCTGAACATGCTTTTAGAATATTTGGTAATGTTGTTTATAACGCTTATCAATATTTATGTCATGATTACAACAATGCATTTATTAATTATTTATAGATTTTGATGGTGATGATATGTTGGGAACTGGAGATTTAAGGTTGGTAGTTGATAGATTAACAGCTCCTCAAAGACTAAGTGAAATGGATATGCAACAACTTCTTCAATACATACTTGATGAAGCTGACTTGGATGATGATGGTGCTCTTAGTTTTGCAGAATTTGAACATATAATAGAAAAAAGCAGTGACTTTTCCAAGTAAGAATATTTTAAAATAAAATAGTGATTCAATAACAAATAGGTAATATTATTTTTATTTACAGGACATTTCGTATACGCTTGTGAATTATAATAGTAAAATGACCAAAGTATAGTTAATGAAAGACTGAATATTAATAATAATAATAATGCTATAGCTGCTATTGGCACTAGGCCTAAATAATTTTTTTTTTTCATGTGAACATTAGAAAGTAACGTTAAAAGTCCAAAGATGTGCCAAGTCCAAATGGTCAGGCCTAATAATAACAATAACACCAATTGAATATTTTTTGTGTTACTTTTTACAGGATCTTATGCACAAATTAAATTCTATTTATATAGTATTCCACAGGATAATATTTCTCATTAGTAATAGTAATATAATCTCTTCAAGATATGCCATGATGTTAAAGATATTCTTTACTCTAAAGTTTTAGTCTAAACAGCAGTACAAAATTTATACTACATGCGTATTTATATAGTATAAACTTAAGTATTAATTTAATTGTAATTAAAATTACAATTTATTGCATTTTTTATTGTATTTTGTCATAGTATTTGCAACGTTTTAGATATTATTATGTATAATTCTTAAAGATATTATTTTGTCTTAATTTATTAATAGGTATTCTTAATAAAAAAAAAACATTGTTTTTTATTAAATAATATATTTACAAGAAATTTGTTTCATTTATTCTTTTTCTTATAAAAAGTGATATTAAATTTTTTCAAAGTTATGTTTTGCGTATACCTTAGAAAAATCCATTCATGATTGTAAATATCCCCTGAAAAAGGAAGTATTTAATTTAACAAAATAAAGTTAACATTTAAATTAAATTAAAACGATTAAAAAAATAATTAGCTTACGGTAATTTCATACGCATAAATATCCAGCATGTAATAAACGAGACAATTATACTAATGAATCCAACGCATATTAAAAGAATTCTGTTAAGTTTTGGAGTGGATGGACTATGCGTTTGTTCAAGTACAATGAAACCTAAACCACCTAAAGTAAATAGGAAGCTTGACGCTAAACCTTCCATAATATATTGACCATTTACACGATATGGCATAAATGCCACCTGTAAAGATTTATAACCTAATTAATAAAATTATATTTTTTGAGGAAATTAATAATTATAACTTACAGGCCTCGTATGACCATGTTCATCAGTCGTAGATCCTACACTGGGCGGTTCAACAATTACATCGTATATTATACCTAGAAAATGCATTTAATTGGTAATACTACTCAAAATTGACTATGTAAATAAACGTTTTTTTTTTTTAATTATTATTGCAATAAATCTATATTAAAAAACAAAATTTGTATTTTCAGGTCTAACCTCCTGTCACTAAAAAGTATGATAAAAGAACGAAAGAAAAAACTATCATCGCGCTAGGTTTCACGAACCAAGATGGCCTTTTAAGTTTTAAATTGGGCACTTCTAAAACGAAGAACGGTATTTTATAAATATATTCCATCTTTAAAAAGAATAATAGTAAAGTACAAAATTATGAAAGATATATGGAAGATATGAAAATTTGGAGTCGCCGGTGTTGACGTGTATTAACGTAATCATTCGTCTTTCATTATCAATGCTACCAAATATCAAACCATAAAGTATATAGGTGAAAGTATATCGATAACGATGTTTTCGATATGTATCGTTAAATAATCGAATGTTTCGATAAAGCAAATTTTATAATAAGTTTATAATAACTGTCATGTTTCTTATGTAGAGTCGTAAAGTGGTCAACATCTTTGCTTATTTAACATTTGTATTCCGTTTAATAAAGTGTTTGTATAGATATAAAAAAAAAAGGAGGCCGCTTATGAAATAAGACGTAGCAACTTCATAATCACGTCGCATGGTGCATGTGAATCGGTGTGCGCATGCGCCAACGTGATCAGCTGTTTAGAACGTAGTGAGAGACCATTTTTACACGGAGGCGTGTATCTCGATCGAAATGTTGCTCTTTCGCGGAGTTTTCGAGCCTTGGATGAAGAACGATCGCATTATAAAATATTTTCTTTTGCCACGGTGAATATTTTCAAACTTTCGAAAGGCCGATGTGACACGTTCAATACCGGAAGTTTTTCTTTGATAGCACCACGTCAGGTTTTTGCAATTGTGTGGTAGTGGTGGTAGTGATGATTGTGTACGCGTAAAAAAACATGGTTGTTCAGTCGGCGTACATTTTAACACAATTGATATTATGAGATTTCTGTGACAAGAAAGATGAAGTTTCGTGTGACTTTCGTATATTGGGCACTACTTTTCACATCGGTTGTGTCTAGGTAAGATTTTTGATCCCTTTACTCACATTTAACATTTAATTTAAGAAGTATATGTATATATATATATACACACACATATATTTTGCCAGTCCAAATTGAAAATATAAAAATTCACATTGTACATGTAATACCGAATTTCTTTTCTTTAAAAAAGATTTCTTTTTTCTTGAATTTATTGATTTGTCAATGAATCAAAATCACATAACCTCCTCATTTATATTCTTGTTTTCTGACGTATATTATTTTATATCATTAATGGATTGAATTTGAATGGTAATAAATATAATTTTTTTGTTATTGTAATTTTTTTTTTTACAGTGGGGTGTTGTTTCTAATAGTTGCTTCAGAAAGTACAGAAGAAAGTACAGGAACGGAAAATGATGGAAATCTGTATGTGTTCGATAATTTTACAACTAATGATGAAAATCAGAAATATGAAATACCAGAAATTACGATTGCTCAAGTACAAAGTCCAGCAATAGAGAATGAATTTCTCGAGGTATGTTTCAGAATATAAATTTGAAGAGCCAAGGATTTGATCTTGGCAAATAATTATTTATTATTAATAATATGAAGGATATATTTGTGAAATCAATCAGTTTTATTATGATATATACATTATGCAATATTATATAATTGTTATTATATATATATTATGTATATATATATATATATATATATATATTATGTAATATTATATAATTGTTTATTATATAATTCTGAATATTTATCCTTATTTTTCTAAGGAGAGTGCTACCAAAGTAACTTCTAGTTTTGACACTGTAAATACATTGGATGATCGTGTGGAAAATGATTTGGAGATTATAGCAGAAAGTATCATACAACAGCCTAATCTTTCCCAAGGGTGAGTCATTATTTTTCTTAAAAATTGGTTACATTTTTTTGAATGAATCGATCTGCCTAAGATAATTAAAGTTTACAAATTATTACGTTTATCTACGTTTTAATCGCATTATCACGAGTACATCATTTATATTAATTGTTATCTTATGATGCAATTTTGATATTTTTCACGTAATGTAAAAGCATTAATCTAGATGATCAAATCATTAGAAAATATTCATTTCACCGATCAAGATCGTGTTCTTTAAACAGAGATCATTGATACACGATACATCAAATAAAAATATATTAGATTAGCATTACGTTTATTTTACTTTTTATTCTTTTAAATATGTTTTGTATCTTATTACTACAGACTTAGTAATCGTATGTTTGCTCCGTTTCTTCCGGAACAGAATATCCATAAATCGTTTGGTGCGTTTCTGTTTTCATTACGGACATTCGATACTCAGACATTTCATCAGACATGTATCATAATCTTGACTTTAATCACGCGAGTCGTCTCCTGCGTCTTATCTTGTATGTATCTTTGTTTTCCTTGTAGATTGGGTAGATGGCGAAATGGTAGGGAGGAATTATGAATATTGAATAAACTCGCGTAACAGATTAATTGTGCTCTTTCAAGAACATTTTATTGCGATAAGAAAAAAGTACAAACAGAAAATAAATATTGATGTTATTTTTGATAATAATCGTTGATAAAAGAGTATTTGTAATTTGTTCAAGCATTCGCAATTCTACGAGAATCATTTTGAAGTTTTGAAGGTATAATAAATTGTATGCAGAATTGTTTACATCTGTTGGTACAATGACTTTGATCGACATAATAGTTCTCTTGTTCTCTTCGGTTAATGGCACTGGGTGTTACGCTCGTTAACGTACGAGTATGTAGTTTATTGTTAGAATGTAAATTAGGCGCCTCTTTCGTCGTTAAATATAGACAAATACGAAATGCCAATGATTTATTCCAACACGCGTTAATCAATGTCACATATGCATTCAATTTTATAGGTAAAGATATACACTTGTGTATATATGCACAATGATTTCGTACAATTATTTTATCGTAAATGCCGTAATTATTATTTTATCTTTTTCGGTTTTTCCCCTTCGAAAAAAAATTTTTGTAGAATTTTAATGTATGTTAAATTGCGTATAATTAATTTTCTAGAGGTATATGTACTATGATAACTAGATGTATGGTCATTAGACCGATATACATCGACTGGAAATACGATAACGTATAAATAATTTATATCGAATAATTTATAAGAGTAATTTCTTCTAACGTAAGAAAATGGTGATTGCCAAGTTGCGTTGTAACGTTTTTGCGTCACAATATATTTGCCATAGTATATTCTCATTAATAGACATGTTATATCGAATTACTTATACGCTTATATTTCACGGATTCTATTAATAAACATCAGGTTATTTGAATGATTTCCTAAAGAAACGATTTTATTATTTGTTGAAGTTATTCACGTGGGAGATGTAGGTTTCTTTGAAAACTCTTTTTTATCGTCTTATGCTAATTAAAGAAATGGTAATCAATTTAAATGAATTGGATTCGAAAAGAACAAAATTGTCGTCGTCATCGTCGTCGTCGCCGCGTCGTCGTCGTCGGTGACAACGTTTAAACTTTGGCGCGCTTTTAAAGCTTTAAAAGCGCATAACGCGATTTACTCGTAACTTTCCTTCACCGTGTTTCCAGTTTACCGCATTATTTAACATTTACTTTAAAGTCGTAGAAAGGAAAAAAGAACAAAAAACGAAGAAAGAAAGAAAGAGTTGGTTAAAGGGCTAAAGCTTTTGATATCTTCCTTCTTCTCTCAAGGTGCCCCGAAATCGAGTTAAAAGTTCCTAGAACGAGAACGTTGCGTACTAGTATCAGATATTTCTATAGCTGGAAACTAGCATCGAAAAGTCGATAAAAGTAGCTTTGACAGCTGTCGTTACTCAATATCGCATGCCATGGACATTCTCTGATATCCTTTCAACGGAAATTACAAAGAATTATTTCTATCTACGTAAATTGTATACCGATTGTATTTATGCGATAAAATTGAAACGTTTAGTGACAGTTTTTTTTTTCTTTTTTTCGTTTTTTTTTTATTCGTTTATAGATATTATATATCTGCATATATCTATATATATATATATATATATATATATATATATATATATATACATACTGAAGAAATATTTTTGTTTTAATTTTTTCTTTTTCTCGAAAATTTCTATTCAAGTATTATGTAACAAGTAAACGTTGCGGTAACTGTGGGTTAAACGATCGAATAGGGATGTAAGACACGTGATGTTAAAATCACGTGGAAATGCCAAAGAGAAGCCATCGCAAAGTGTTTGGGTGCAAAATCAAACTGGCTTTGCAGGGTCATGTTTAGGACATGAACGAAGCCCCATTGTCGTGATGTAGGATTTAAAAGTTGTTTTCTTACTTTCCTCTTTTTCTTACTCTATTTCCTCCTTTTTAAATATTTTCTTGTGGAATTTGTTTTGATAAACGATTTTGTAATTTCGAGTACTACATTAGAGAGAGCTAGGGGGAAGGGGAGAGAGAGAGAGGAGGCGATGATAATGAATAAAATTTTTTTTTATAAAGTAAATAGTAAGTAGTAAAATTATTCGATTCAATTTGACTCGATTGGATTTAATTGTGGCTTCGATATTTGTTTTTGATTATTGACAAATTAACTTGTAATTTACTCATATTACTTGAAACGATATAAATGAACGAAATATAACGAAAGGAATATAAGATTAATATTAGTTCAATATATTTGTAAAAGAATCGAACATTAAAATATAGTCACTAGATGCATTTCTCGTAGTTACTGCATTGGCTAAGTTCCACCAATGCATTATCGGATATTTGGTGCATCGTAGGAGAGACGAGTGATGCACCAATTATCAAACGAAGCCAGATCGATAACGTGTGTGCGGCTACTTGGAGGAAATTGATATAAAATAAACTATATTGAAACCTCTATAAAAAGGATATTTTATTTATTCATAAAGACATATATCAAATATAATACATATTTATACAAGCGAAAAAAAAAATTAGGAAAAGAAAAAAAAAATCGATACTTCATATAAATGTCCTCCATAAATTTCACAGAGTGAAACGATAACGAATCGTGGACTTTCGATGAATTAACCGCTTTCTCGAATTCCGTATCGAGAGTATCGAGATTTATGTTATCCATTCATAGCCTAGATTAGACGTATCTATCGTGTCTTCATTTTCTGGGTCGGTCGTATCTTCAAAGAAAGTATGCCTTTGAAGAGAAAAAGAAGAAGAAAAGAAAGGATAATAATAG